ATGCTCCCGTCAGCTTCCCTTACTCCTCTGAATTTGATTTAGCAGGTCTTCACTAGACCTGCTAAATCGAACCCCGGAAGATCGACCATGGCAGCGTCGATCTTCTGCATAGTCTAGACATGGCCTGAGTTACTAGAGACAATTCTTTCCAAGGCATACAGAATGTGGGTCTTGCCCACATGCTCAGGGTTTAACTGACTGACATGTTTGGGATTGGAAAGAAATTTTCCTCCAGATCAGATTGTCCAAGATTCTGGGGGTTTTTCACCTTCGTCGGCAATGTGGGGACTGAGTCCCTTGCTGATCTGAACTAGAATAAATAGTGGATTCTCTATAAGCAGAAGTCTTGAAATCAAGATTTGAGGACTTCAGTATCTTATCCAGAGGTTAAGGATAAGGCCCTACCAAACTCATGGCCATGAAAAACACTTTCATGGACCATGAAATCTGGTCTCCCTCTGTGAAATCTGGTCTTGTGTGTGTTTTTACCCTTCACTGTATAGAAGGGTAGACCAGGGTTTCTCAAATTGAGGGTCATCATCCTAAAGGGAGTTGCAGGGGGTTGCTTCTAAACTGCCTTCAAAAAGAGAGGGTGGAGGCTTGAGAGCAGCAGCTGTTGGCTGGGTGCCCAGCTCTGAAGGTACCACCCCACCAGCAGCAGCACAGAAGTAAGAGTGGCAATATTACTTCTGTGCTGCCGATGGCGGTGGTTCTGCTTTCAGAGCTGAGCTCCTGGCCAGCAGCTGACACTTTCCAGCTATCTAGCTCAGTAGGCAGTGCCACCGCCAGCAACAGCAGTGCCAAAGTAAGGACAGCAGTACGGCACCCCCCCACCCCCAAACGTGCACACACTAACCTTGCAACCCCCCCACAACTCCTTTTGGGGTCAGGATCCTACAATTACAACACCATGCAAATTCAGATTTAAATAGTTCAAGTCAAGACATTGACTCTGTTTAAAATTCTAAGACCATAAAATGCCTCAAAATAGACTGTGAATTTGGTAAGACCCTCGTTATGAACCTATTGCAGAAGTGGGTGGATGAGGTTCTGTGTTCTGAGATATGCTGGAAATCAGGCTGGATGATCATCATTTTCCTGTTTGGTTTTAAAGATAAGGACGTGTGGTTGAAAGTTAGGGTGTAACTTGCAGAAAGACATCTGCTGTTGACACAGGGCCTAGCACAATGGGGGGCTTGGTCCATGGCAGGGGCCCCTAAGTGCTTCAGTAAAACAAATAAGTAATCGTGTAAATGCTCCATGCAATGGAGTCTTTATCACATTCCCTGATAATGTGTTCCATGATTAACTACTATAGCGGTTAAAAAGTTGCTTCTCATTTGAAATGTCCTCATGTCAACTTGCAGCCACTGGACCTTAATAGGCCTTTGTCCGTTATGCCTTTGTCACTTAAACTAATTGGCCTCCTACAGTTAGATATTTTCTCCCTGGGTGAAGACATATAGATGTTGCTTCTTAACTGTCTGTTTGATAAGATAACTAGATTGAGCTCCTTGCGGTCTCTCGTTGTAAGTCACGCAACTTTATTTATTTTTAGTGGGTTAAAAAATGACAACACACTGGTTAATTCATAGGGGGCACTATCTTTCTCTGTGGTTTGCATACCTGGTAGATTAAACCTGATAAATGGCTGTTTGAGAAATGTCCATATTTTTTAAAAAATACAGTTGGAGCTTAACTATGAAGCATCAGAAAATAATGTACAGAAGCCAGGCATAGAATCCTAGGGTTGGAAGAGACCTTAGGAGGTCATTGAGTCCAACCCCCTGCTAAAGGCAGGACCAATCCCAACTAAATTATCCCAGACAGGATTTTGTCAAGCCGAGACTTAAAAACATCTAAGGATGGAGATTCCACCACCTCCCTAGGGAAACCATTCCAGTGCATCAACACACTCCTAGTAAATAGTTTTTCCTAATCTCCAACCTAGACCTCCCGCACTGCAACTTGAGACCACTGCTCCTTGTTCTGTCATCTGCCACCACTGAAAACAGCCTCTCTCCATCCCCTTTGGAACCCCCCTTCAGATAGCTGAAGGCTGCTCTCACATCCATCCCTCACTCTTCTTTTCTGTAGACTAAATAAGCCCAAATCCCTCAGCCTCTCCTCGTAAGTCATGTGCTCCAGCCCCCTAATCATTTTTGTTGCCCTCTGCTGGACTCTCTCCAGTGTGTCCACATCCTTTTTCCATGGGTGTAATTCTGGTGTCTTTATCTTTGGCTACTGGCCGCAACTTCATGGGAATTAAATATCAGCCCTTGAGAGCTGAGCTTTGTAGCTTACATTAAATTGGAAAAATGAGTTTTAATTAATCTAAAAGCAGAGGTTACAAGAAGAAGATATTCTCAGTTATTTTCTTTACAATCTCCAATAATCCTACTTCAGAGTGGCATTTGAAAATTTCTATTGATCTCAGTAAAAACAAAGATACAGCTTTGGTTATAATGTCCAAAGGGAGTAGAGATTGCTTTTCTGCTTTCTGGTTGTTCAAAGCATTCTCGTTTGCTCTCTCCATATTGATCTGTGGTATCAATGATGCTGATGCAGTCTTGGCAGATCGATTGTGAAGGCAGACTCTTGGGTAACGTGAGTGAAAAAGTGTGGTATAAAGGAGCAGTTTCACATCAGTACATAATATTTATTGAAGAAATCTGCCTCAAAAGTGGTTTTCCTAGTTCCTTTTACTATAATTGGAAGTATATTTTATTAAGTGCCATTTTTGTTTGCAACCCAAGGATTCTACCTTCTGGAATGTTGGACTTAACCAGAGTCTTTTCCTAGCCTTTGGGGAATTGTTCCTTGCCACATCATGGGTAACTCCCAAACAGGATTGCTAGTGGGAAATGGCTCCAGCATTTTCATTCTCTGTATGAAATTCGGAGGGTTTTTATCTCATTACAAATCAAACTAAAAGGCAAAAATGTTCAACCCTCCCAGGAAACAAAAATTCTGAAAATGTTCAATTCAGGAACTTTGAAATATCTTGTTTCAATTGTGACAAAATGTTTATTTTAATGCCATTTTGCCATTTATGCTAAGAATAAATAGAACAATCTAGAAATTACATGAATTACATATTATATACAGGCAGTCCCCGAGTTACGCGGATCCGACTTATGTCGGATCCGCAGTTACGAACGGGGATTTTCTCGCCCCGGAGGACTGGAGCGGCGGGACGCCTGGTCCCGCCGCCCGCCTCCTCCGGGGCGAGAAAAGCTGCTCCCTGGTCTGCTGGCTCCCCCAGCAGACCAGGGAGCAGCTTTTCTCGCCCCGGAGGACTGGAGCGGCGGGACGCCTGGTCCCGCCGCCCGCCTCCTCCGGGGCGAGAAAAGCTGCTCCCTGGTCTGCTGGCTCCCCCAGCAGACCAGGGAGCAGCTTTTCTCGCCCCGGAGGACTGGAGCGGCGGGACGCCTGGTCCCGCCGCCCGCCTCCTCCGGGGCGAGAAAAGCTGCTCCCTGGTCTGCTGGCTCCCCCAGCAGACCAGGGAGCAGCTTTTCTCGCCCCGGAGGACTGGAGCGGCGGGACGCCTGGTCCCGCCGCCCGCCTCCTCCGGGGCGAGAAAAGCTGCTCCCTGGTCTGCTGGCTCCCCCAGCAGACCAGGGAGCAGCTTTTCTCGCCCCGGAGGACTGGAGCGGCGGGACGCCTGGTCCCGCCGCCCGCCTCCTCCGGGGCGAGAAAATCCCCGTTCGTAACTGCGGATCCGACATAAGTCGGATCCGCGTAACTCGGGGACTGCCTGTAATACGTTAAAACATAATTGTTATAAAATATGCAAGTCAAAACAAAATGAGTTGAATTGGTGCATCAAAATGAAACATTTTAACATTCTCAAAATGAGACATGCTATCAAAATGTTGAAATCGACTTATTCTCACAAAATATTTTTGTTTCGATAAAGCTGCAATTGCAATAGCAAAATCCTAATTGGACTTCTTGCACATCTCTGGTTTGGGGGATTAAAAATAATCTGCTTTGGACATAATTTGCGCTTTCCATCCAACACAGCTGCTGCGTCAACCAGCCTGGTAATTGGTAACTGGGTGGAGTTTGATTTTGCACCTGATTGTGTGGCAACTTCAGTGGCTTGGGGGATGGGGCAGTTAGAAAGAAATAGAAACAGCTTGTGCACAGCTTGGTGTGTTCAGATCAGGTGCTTTAATTTGGAGTGGGGGAGTGTGTGACTTAATCTGAGCATCTCTAGCATTTCCATCTCTAAAATGCATCATTCCCCAGTAATCCAGATTTGTCTCAGTCCTACACAGATCTGTCCTGTTTCTCCCTGCCAATTCCTGAAAATGTTGGATACCACAAATGCTTGATCTTGGGAGTGTGGTTATTGAAATCTGTGTGTTTAAAGAAAATAATCCCACGATATTTCACTCATTTCTCTCCGTTTGTCTGAGTTAAGTCCCTCATTCTGAGTTTTTAGCACACATTTCTGATAATGCCTTTTTGGTTTTGATCTAAGAGAAAGTGTAGTATTGTGAGAGAACCTCCATTTAGAGCACTAGCATGGGGGTGATATCAGTAATCTAAATAGCATTTTCCAGCTCTTACTTCTGTAATCATATGGTCTAGGTTTGGAAATTGATTGACAGAGTAAGAAACCGGAGGGAGCCACGGGAGGTCTAGGTTGGATATTAGGAAAAACTACTTCACTAGGAGGGCGGTGAGGCACTGGAATAGGTTGCCTAGGGAGGTGGTGGAATCTACATCCCTAGAGGTTTTCAAGTCCCAGTTTGACAAAGCCCTGGCTGGGATGATTTAGTTGGGGTTGATCCTGCTTTGGGCAGGGGGCTGGACTTGATTACCTCTGAAGTCTCTTCCAACCCTGGGATTCTATCATTCTATGGTTAGCCACAAGGTTGCCAGGAATATTGCCCGACAATGATTTTGTCTGCGTATTTAGCTCTACAGCTCAGACAGAGCAATCCCTGAATGTTGCAATTTGGTCACCTCTTTCTCTTCCCTTTCTGCAGGTTGCAGAAGTATGTGGGACAACGTAACCTGCTGGCCCTCCTCAGCAGTGGGAGAAGTTGTGGTGATGCCGTGTCCGACATTTTTTAGCTACTTCACCACTTCTTTAGGTAAGAGAATCTGCACAGTTCCTTTAGTAGAAGTGTCACTTGGTATTTTCCAAACTGGATTCCCTCCACCTTCCTTCTGATGAACGGTGATCTTGCTGTTGTTTGAAAATTTCATGACATCTGTTCAGAAGTAATGGACATGCGCTACTCTCCAGTGACTTCAGCTGGAGTTGAAAAAATAAGAGGGGCTGTCAAGGGCTATCATGTTTGAATCTAAGCCAGGTTATCGATAACTGGGTGGTGTTTAATAGCCAAGGATAGGCAGCAGGTCAGGCTAGATGACTGGGTGCTCCCTTCTGGTCTGAAATGCTCTCATTCTGTATTAGTTAGAGATGAGTAAGTACTTCAGTAGCTAAGCTGCTTGACTACACTCTGGGATCTATCTCCTCACTGGTATGCCCAAATCCCCAGCTTACTGACAGGGATTCATGGTTATTATTTTTTCATTGTTTCTTTACATTACAATAGTGACCAGACACAAGACACAGTGACAGTTGATGCCCCCTTTGCTAGGTCCTATATAAAATATACAGAGTCCCCAAACCTTGTACTCCATGCATGGGATTATTACTGAACATTGGCCTAACTCTGCTGCCGCTGAAGTCAGTGGGAGTTTAACCAGTGACTTCAATGAGCAGTTATGTCAATGCTGTTCATTTTGAAAATCCCATTCTAAGGGTACGTCTACACTGTAATGCTATTTCAGGATACCTCAGGGTATCCCGAAATAGCTACCACGCACCTTTTGAACGCATCCGCTATTGTGAAATATAGCTGACGCGCTATTCTGGCATCCCTGTAAACCTCATTCCACAAGGGATAAGGGATGTCTTGAAATAGTGCTTTATTTTGAAATTTGATGCCATGTAGACGCACCAAATTTCAAAATAGCCTATTTAAAAAAATAATCAAAGTAAGCTACATAATTTATGTAGCGCAAGTTGCATATCTTATTTCGAGCTAAGGGTGCAGTGTAACACATCCTAAGAAGTCACGTATGAAGAAGAGATAAAAGAAAAATGTTTTCCCCTTCCCCTTAGAAAATTTTGACAAAAATGGAAAATTTAGTTTCCCTCTAAATTCTCCTCAGAAAATCTGGAGGTTGAAATGTTGCTGATGTGCTTCATGAGAGTTGTAGTTTTGGTACCTCATGTTCCCATTCTCCTCTTGAGACCAGGGTCTCTGGTCAGACTTCATCTCCCATGATGCTCCACAATCTTCTCTCATGGACTGGGGAGGCAATCTATCATGTGAGAGGTTGGTAATAATGCATCTTGGGAGATGTAGTCTGGCCAAAGTGACTGGCCAAGAGAGGAGATGGGGGATATGAGACAATTGAACTACAACTCCCACAAGACACTGCAGCAGCAGCATCAAATCAAAATATTTCTGGTTTTGAAAGAAATTTTGGGGCTTTAAGCATTTGACTTTTTGACTAAAATATTTATTTTCCACAGAAAGCAGATGCTTTTCTTAAAAATGATGTTTAATTGGAAACCGAGTTTTCCACTGCAAAGCACTTTTCTGGAAAATGTTCAGGTAGCCTTTGACAGAGCGGGAGTAGTTTACGGCTGGCTCAGCACTCTGCAAGAGAGATGTTAACTAACGAATAATTTACCACTCGAGTAGTTGATGGTATGTTGACTACTCGACTAGTCGATAGGCACTTCCGCATTCCTCCTTTAAAATGTATGAGCCCCCAGTGAGGCTCGTGTACATTTCAAAGGAGGAATGCGGAACTTTGCGAGCAGCTTGGGACCAGTGGGAAATCCTGCTCCACCAGAACGCTTACACTTTGAAATGAACAAGAGCCCCCGGGGGCTCATGTGCATTTCAAAGAGAAAGCACCTGTGTGGAGCCCGGAGTCAGCGGGACTTCCTGCTGGCCCTGGGCTGCATCCAGCGTGCCAGCTTTGAAACGTACAAGAGTCCCCGGGGGAGCGGGGGCTCTGGTGCATTTCAAAACAGAAGTGCCCTCATGGAGCCCGGGGTCAGCAGGGAACTCTGAGTTCCCCGCTGACCCTAGGCTCCATGCTGTACTGCCACTTTGAAATGCCACGCAGAGCCTGGGATCAGTTGACCCCGGGCTCTGTGTGGCATTTCGGCAGAACCCAGGATCAGCTGGGGACTCCCCAGCTGAACCAGGGCTCTGCTTGGCATTTCAAAGCGGCAGCACTGCACAGAGCCTGGGATCAGCTCAGGACTCCCCAGAGTGGCTCCGGGTTCCATGGAAATGCCACAGGGAACCCGAGGTCAGGCAGGGACTCTCCAGCTGACGTCGGGCTCCATGCGGCACTGCCGCTTTGAAATGCTGCCGTGGTGTTTCAAAGGAGCAGTTCCGCACAGCTGATCATGGGCTCTGTGCAGCGCTGCCCCTTTGGAACGCCGCTGCGGTGTTTCAACGGGGCAGCACCTCCTGGAGCCTGGGTGTGGGCTCTGTGCAGAGCTTCCTCTTTGAAGTACCTTCTCTTCCTGCCCCGTCTTGCTGCCTCTGTTAGAAGCAGCAAGGGCAGAGGAGGAATCAACTAGTCAGCTTGACTATCGGATAAGCATTTGCTTATCAGATAGTTAAGTAGTCGACTAGTCCTTAGCATCCCTACTTTGCATACTTTCTGTATATCCTGACCTGGGCCAAATAGGGAGATAAATGATTAAGTCTGGGTGATTAACTGGTTAACAAGTGTATTCAGCTCATCATTTGGGGTCTGTGAATTGGAGGCAGAAAGGGAGGTGAATGACAAAGAAGACCAGGATCTCAGGGAGGTACGAGCTCTTTTCCCCTTTACCTCCCCTCTGTGTGCCTAGTAGAAACTTGAGGAAAACCTTGTAGTGAGGGACCATGAAGTTGTGTAAGACACTTAGCACACTGTGATGAACTTACGTAAGAAAGCCCGAGGACTGCTTGCGAAGAGGAATCTTGTGTTAAATAGCCCATCCCGTGACAAAATATTGACACACAGGTTCAATAATGGACTAGAGAGGATGCATATTTCAAAATACACACAAGCTGAAGGCATGCTTACATGCTTCTCCCCAACATTGTAAACAAATGAGGTAAGAGCCACTTGTCCCGCCCGGCCGTTAACAACCAGGCTGTTCCTGTATGAGGGCTGACGCAGAAGAAGACCTGGCAGGAGATGCTTGCACACAAAGTTGGCAAATGAGCGGTTATAACTGGCACCATTGCGGGAGCTGAGGCAGTGTGAGAGAGGCAGAAACAGGAGTGGACGGGTAGAGTTTGCGATGGGCCTCGAAGGGAAGGACGAGAAACTGACCTTGATGCCGTGAAATTTGGGAGCCTCTGCAGGGGCTCAAAGGAGGTCGTATGGTTGGAGCAAGACACAGGCAAGATAATCTTAGCAGCTGTGGATTATTGGACTGGAGGCCGGTGGGTGATAGACATGCAATCTTTGAGCCATATTCTGCTCTCGGTTACTCTGGAAACTGCACTGAAGACAGAACAGAACTGGACTACTGTTTCCAACTCATTGTAGTTCAAGGAATACTGTAACTACAGCGACCATTTGCAAAGATTGTTGTTTCAGGACTTAGATGTCATGGTGATGGGCTCCTGTGTAAGAACTTAGTTTGGGAGAGAGATCTGTATTTCTATAGGTAATATCATTTCAAGATGGAGCCTGCTGTGGATTCGGAAGAAGGGTCAGATAAAGGCTGGGATGCTGCCCTGCTGGAGGCTAATTTAAGGACAAGCATAAAAAAGTGGGAAATTCCCTGGTTTCCATTCACTGTCTTTGGGGGTAATGAGATGGATACAGCTCTGCCTGGCTGCCATATAAATGTCATTGCATTGCTAGGACAACTGCTTTCTAATGAAGGCGAAAAAATACATTTCACAAGATAGGCATTCCTCAACTATCTGTCTCTGTAAGTTTTTTCTTCACTCAGCACACAGTCAACCTGTGAAACTCCTTGCCAGAGGATTTTGTGAAGACTAGGACTTTATCAGGGTTAACAAGAGAGCTAGGTAGATTCATGGAGGTTAGGTCCATCAATGGCTATTAGCCAGGGTGGGTAGGGGTGGGGTCCCTCGCCTCTGTTTGTCTGGAATGGATGACAGGAGAGGGATCACATGATGATTACCTGTTGTGTTCCTTCCCTCTGGGGCATCTGGCATTGGCCACTGTTGGCAGACAAGATACTGGGCTAGATAGACCTTTGTTCTGACCCAGTATGGATGTTCTTGTGTTCTTACATAAAGGGTAGCTCTTGTTTCAGTGTAGAGAGACGCAAGCCTTGTCTGTAATAAAAGGAAGGCCGCCACTTCTGTGATCGATCTTCTGGAGTTCAGTTAGCGAGTCTGGTATTGGACACTGTTGGCAGAGAGGATACTGGGCTACATGGACATTTGGTCTGGCCCAGTATGGCTGTTCTTATGATACCAATGTGATGATCCCCATGACCGTAATATCTGAAGCTTCAGAGAGGTAGCTGAGTTAGTCTGTACAGGATAAACTTAAAAAACAATAAATAGCCTGGTAGCACTTTAAAGACCAATAAAACATGTAGATGGTATCATGAACTTTCATGGGCACGGCCCATTTCTTCAGATAACCCGTCATCTGAAGAAGTGGGCCGTGCCCACAAAAGCTCATGATACCATCTACATGTTTTTTTAATCTTTAAAGTGCTACCAGACTAATTGTTGTTTTTTAAATTGATCCTAATATGTGAGTGCCTCACAATCTTTACTGTGTTTATTCTCACAACACCACAGTGAGGCGGGGCAGTGTTGTTATCTCCACTTCACAGAAGAAGGAGGAGTCACAGAGAAGTGGTGTGACAAGCCATAGCAGGAAGTCTGTGACCGATCAGGCATTTGAACCCACGTTTCCCAAGTAGCAAGGAAATACCCTCCCACGGAGTCATACTTCATCTCTTCTCTGACCTGGGAAAAGCTACTCTGAAGTAGTTCTGACTCCAACTGGCTTTCAGTGAGACTCTCTAGTACAGCGGATCCCAACCTTTTCCAAATAGGGACCC